GTGCAGGTTAGGAAGTTGAATCCCTTCTATGCCTTCCTCACTTTTGAAAAGATACATGAAGGAGGTAAGTCGGCAGCCTTGTCTTATTGATCAGGTGAGCTTGAAAGAGTCACTAATTGTGTTGTTAATGCTCGTCGAATACCATAAGTCACTAAAAAGCATGCAAGTCTAGCCAATTTAGGTCACATTGAATCCCATTGTTGCTATGGTGCCTTCCAAAAACAACTATTCTACTTTGTCATAGGGCTGTTTAAAATCCAACAAAAGCATAACTATAGGTTGGTTGGATTCAAGAGCCCATTCCATCCTTTCAAAGGCCAAAAAAATATTATCAATTATGCTTTATGTTTTGATAAATCCCATTTTATTTAGATGGATAATTGTGTGGAGCAAGAGATGAATGCATAGTGCCATTGCTTTCGTAGTAATTTTATAAAGAGTTCATAATAATGTAATTGGTCACCAATTTTTTAAATTTGTTTTGCACCATTCTTGTTTGTACATCCAACTACCATAATTTTGGACCTAATTACCAATGTATTATCTATTTAGTCTAAGTGGTCTATATATAGAATCTTATTGTTTATTCAACCATGAAAAGGAGAATAAATTAGCATGGATAAAGTCATTCAAGAACTAAGTGTCCACAAGCCTAAGCTTCATGAGGAGGTTATTGTATAATTCCCTATTTTTCTATACTTAATTTTTTGAAGTTTGGCCATTACAATCTTTCTCACATTTGATCATATTCTTATCACATCTACTTATCCATGAATCAATTGAAAGGAGCCTAGTATAAATGGTTGTCCAAAATTTGGCTCTATTTCTACCTCTATTTGACGCATAGATGTTTAACAAGACAATCTTATAGAAATTCAGTTAATAAATGATCCATTGTACTCATCCTACAATCAATATATCTTAATCTAATATTATGTGTTTTATAGTCACAATGAATAAGATTACAATGCTTCTTCTATATCTATTGGTCATGTGATTGACTACATCACTATTTCACATTATCAATCCTTATTGGTGCTTAAATGTATCCATCTTATCATATAACTTTGTAGCCATTTTGTACTCTTGTAAGAGAATTATACTAAATTGAGGATAGATGGTTTTTAAATGGAAGTAAAGTATACGTCACTTGATTTGTTCTACTTTAAGGATCAATATGTCTCTAACATTTTTAGAAACTAAGTTGAGTTTATCACTATTCATATTGGATAGAAGGTTTAGTGATCCTTGTAGCCAATTTACTCCCAAGTAGGAAAAAGAATCATACTATTGGCTATCAATTGTGGAACAATGAAGCATAGACTATCACTCTAATTCATTGTATGATTAAAAAATGCTTGCACAATAAGAAGTACTATTATATTGTATGTACTTATTACTACTTGTTATCTAATAGTTAAGTGAGAAGCTTTGAAATGAGGAGAAAGAATTGTGTTGTAATTAGATAGCTAGTTGGTAAATTTTACCAATAATGCTTCTTTTAACTAAATAAGATTCATCTAGTACTCAACTAGGATAAACTTATTGGGCCATGTTAAAATATCTCCTTCCTCTTTTATTAAGAGGCAGTCCATGACCAAGTGGAGACCTATACATAGGACTACTATGATCAGCAGTAAAGTTTTTAGAGGAGGAAATAATATTGTGGATGAAGGAAAATCTTTGTGATTCAAAATCAATATCTTGGTATAGAATATGAGAAGAATTCTAAAAGAAGAGAATCTTTATAGTTCAAAATTAGTATCTTAGTATAGAATATGATTAGAACTTAAAAAGAAGGAGAAAGAAGACGGGGATGTAATATCTTAAGTGTTCTATTATGATTACCATAAACTTTGAAGAATTGGATTTCCATGATTTATACTATTATATCTTACCTTCTTTGATATTACATCACTTAATTGGTGGCTAGCTCAGACAAGCTCTGTCCATGCTTGAGAGTGGAATTAGAACCATTGTAGATTATATGAGCATTATCTCATGAAATTCTTTATTGTTGATGGACTCAATATCTACGTTCTAATATACTACCAATATGAAAGTGCGTATGAGTCTTTTGATGCTATTTTTCATTTGAAATGAATCCAAATTCATAAGTCTTCAATATTAGTCTACCAAATTTTATTTCATTAGAAAAGAAGGAATAATCATTAGTTAGGACCTCTTATTGCAATATCTTCTAGGTATTGCCATTGATGGATCCATATTGTTGAATCATATCCTTGTGTAAACAGGATCTTGCATTTGAGGCCATAAGTTTGAAGTAAATTTTTTTGTATCTGCTCTTAGTAGTTCATGTAGATTCTTTCAAGTGTTTGAATGGTGCTAGTAGGAAGGCAGATCTGAATTTCCTTTACTTCTTCACACATGACGCTAAGGTATTTTTTTTGATGATTCAAGTAGAACATATATATTATCAATCAAATTTGAAGCTGTTTATCTATGTCCTTTGGAGTAGATATAAAGTTCAGCAAGTTCTATACTTGTGCTCGAATATGCTAGATGAAATAGGTCTCTTTTTGCTTCGAAATAAAGATGGTTGAGCTAGACTTGTATGTAATGATTTAATCACTTCTACATGTTTTCTTATAATTTTCTAGTCAATATCCTTGGATAGAGAGGGTCGAATTGGAAGTTCTAAATTTTGTTGATTATGTCTTATTTAAAGGACAAGTATATTGAGGATATTTGAAGCTTCTTTTTCCATGCATTGTGTAGCTTCACTCTTCGAGATGAGTTGTGGTGAGATATCAAATACTACCTTGTTGGTGGTAGAGCAATAAGTATTTTTATGTTATTCAATTGCTTTGTTGTAGTGTGCATGTACTCTAAACTTCTTTAGACAATGAGTAACTTCGTATTCAAGTTTTATGCACTTTGAGCATTGTTGGAGAAGACCTTCATATTCCACTGGTATTTCCATTTCTTCAAAAAAGAAAGATATTGAATGAATGATCAACAAATGAATTGATTTGATCTCTAAAACCAATATACACAATCTAAGTATAGATGACTTTTTCAAACATTCTTCTTGGATACCTAATGAAACAACCTCTCCAATTTGGGAGCATACCAAACTTAGTACTTTGTAGAATATATCATCAAGTTTAGAGAAACAAATCTAAAGTAGTATTTTGATACTAATAGGCATGAGGGGATAAAATTAGGATCTCTATGGATATAAATAGATAAGATAGTTACCAAAATTGAGAGGGCTTTAGGTGAAGATTACTTGTATATTAGCTTTTAGTTCAATATTTAACACAAAGTACTTTCATTGTAATAATTTGATTCTTGACATAATTATTGGAGATTTGATAAGATTGATATTGATCCTTTTTTGGAGTTCCTATTTCAAATGGTGTTTTGTTGGTACAAAATTAATAAGAGCTAATCAAGACATCATTTGTGCAACTTCATCTATGAAGGTGAGAGTTTTTTGTGAGAGGATAGGTCAAAGTTTAGGCCTAAAAGGGAATTGTATGCCTCAAATTGCCTTGGATGATTTTGTCTAAGGTGGTGGATAGGTAGGTGCATTGATATCTCCTATGCAAGGAATACCTCTAATACCTAATCTTGTACTATTCTATTGTTTTAATCTATACATCACTCTATACTAAAAAATCAACAAGAAACAATAAACAATGCTTCAAACAAAATTAAGATTATTGGAACTTCTTGAAAAATACTTGGATTTTGCGTTCTTTGGTTCTTTGAATGTGTAAATGTTATCCTTTGCCCATTCTTGCACTCTCAACCTCTTTTGCATAGCAATTAGTCAACAAACACCCTGTTGTGGTCCTAGAGGGGACCCCAACTGTGGGCCACCGTGCCTAGACGTGCCCATATAATATGGAGCGACCTCATTTTGTCATGTCAAACATCTTTCTTCACCTGCAGCTAATCTATTAGTTTATATTTTGTCAAGGATGGATTCATGCCTTCAAAAGCAACAACAAAGGTGTTGGAACTATATGTGACTATATTTGACAGACATGCATTGCAAACGTACCCTGTTCCTGGGACAGATGCCTGTGCGAAGCTGGGGGCAATGCAGCCGGGCTCTGTACAAGCAAAGCAAGCATGCTTCGCTTGCACTGTTAACCCGGGCAGTTTCACGAATCAGTTGAAGTTACATCTCCTTGTACCGTACGTGTCTCCAGCTATGTCCAACCAGTCATCAAAAAACACATTCTTTCGCTGCATTATTTTGCGTCAACCAACAATGGTGTTGCCAGTGCACAGAACAATGGTGTTGCCAGTGCACAGAACAATGCAGAGAATGGCCACAAATTACGCAACTTTTATTGTGAAACTTAGTCGTTACTAATGATTTTGCTTAAAGCTGTACTGTGTTCCTACCATGTCCAGCCCATCTGCAGGACAATTTGTTGACGTTTCTAATTGCTCTTTGGCCTGTTACCTGTCAGTTTATGCAGTTTCTTGCTGTGTATTAAACCCTGGACACAAGGAAGCCCCACTTCTACTCAAAGTACCACAAAACAAGTGACCTAACAGTTGTTCAAGGATAGAGGAACCGCGGACCATACTTTGTCTATCGTTCGAAGCGATGATAATCTTCTCTTCAAGCGGATCTGAGTGGACAAACCAAGGCAAATTTGATCCCACAACCACGCACACTTATACCAAATATGGCTTAATTGTCCTTCGTTGCAAGAGTCATCATTCAATGTTCTGAAATGAACAGTTGCTTTTTGGTGCTCTTCGCGAGTTTCAAAGGCTCGTGTGTCGTCTGCTTGCTTCATAGAAAAGAAAGAAAGAGAAAAAAGAGAAGAGAAAAGAGCAGGATAAAGCTCAAGTGCATTCGGGTATTTTATCGCCATCAACTTGGTGTACAGGTGGGCACCATAGATCTTCGTCTATCAGTCGGAGTGTCAGAGGGGGAAAGCTTGTGGGACCTGCTTATTGGCTTAGCGTCAATAATAGTGCATTAATAAAGGAATTGGCAGTGCACACATGGATGCACAGGCGGCTGCGGCCTAATTCCACTTCCAGTAGGTCAAAGCCCTCCGATCAATTCAATTCACAGCTGGTTGCAGCTACTCGAAGTTATGCCCACACTGCAGGGCATGAATGGAAGTTATCTGAAATAGTTGGTTCAATATTCGATTGGCAGCCCAGTGCGGGGAAGACTCCTCGACTCTTTAACTGGGAATGCTATGCCGACGGAGACTATCAATCAAATCAGTTAGTGAAGGGTAGGTGATCAATTCTTCAACAGAGGTTGTGAATGAAAGGGTTCAGCAAAGGAAGAGAGGCCTATGGCGTAGTGACAAGGAGAAAGGAGTGATTGCTTTGGTGGTTTGCTGCTCATGGACGTGACACCTCAATGCCTGAGACTTGGAGAGAGACAGATGTATGTATGTGCGTGTGTGTGTGTGCAAGGTTGCGAGATTTTGTTGCGAAGAATAGCGGGCAAAGAGTCAACCGGGGCGGCGGGGGGATCCGTGAGGGCAGGGTAGAGTTATGGCTTCCAGAGATTTGGTTGAGGATTCAAGAATCACTGTTGTTCAAGTCGTCGCCGGAGAATCCCACACTCTCGCTCTCACAGGTGTACTACCGCTCCATATTTCTCCGTATTCTGCATACACCCAGCATTGTGAATCTTGAATAGTGCTCCCCTCGATATACCTTGGAGTTTTTCCCCCGACCTTGTTTACTGGATGTTTATACTTGTTCTTGGCAGTCCACAGTGCCACTAGCAACGAGAATCTTCCAACATAGATAGAATGTGCAATTCCTTGAGAGGCTCGCTGAATCTAACATCGCATTAAGGTAGTTATTCTGAGCATCTAGACAAGAACAGAATGTAAGTGGGCTGCGTAAAACCTCTGCCAACGAACCGCGGTAGTGAGACTTTTTTTCTACATCTCGACATGTCGGTGCAAGCATTCGTCGGGTAATGCATTGCTCATAACACCTTCAAAACCGAAGTGTGTACACTCTGGCCTTGTGCTCACATTCGCCCTTGAAATTCTGACGTCGATTTGCACAGCCAGTAGAATCTGCGCCGTGCAGCCTTACTTCTCTCTTCAGATTGCCTGGGATTCTTATGATAGCACACAGGTATTGATGATTGACATTTCCTAGTGATTTTGTTGTTGCAGCTGTGGGGAGTGTGTACTCATGGGGACGAGGCTTGTTCGGGAAACTGAGGGTGGGCGCCTCCCAAGACGAGCTCATCCCCACCTACATCTCTATCGGGTCGGACCCTGACGAGGAAGACAGTGCCGGGAGGTTCCATTTTAGTAGAGAGGATAACTATCCGCGAGTCAGTCACCTGCGTGACAAAGACAAAGAAGAAGGGGTTGTGAAGAAAGTCACCCAAGTCGCAGCAGGGGCGTACCATAACCTCGTGTTGACAGCGGACGGGTCGATGTGGTCATGGGGTTACAATGCCTGTATCCAGCTCACTCAGTGTTCCTCTCCCCTTTGCGCATTCCTTCGCTATGAGTTTTTTTAACAAACTTAGTATTTTTGTGAGTATGTGGAGCATTTTTGTGAGTTTAGCACTGGACACCTCTCTCAGTGCTTGTTCCTTAACTAATACATGGACGGTCAGCTTGGTCGCGAAAAGACCGCATCGCAGCCCTCTCCGATTATCTTTGGTAATTCCCGAGACTCGGCCGAAGAGGTTCGCCGAGGCGGGACTGTTTTCTTCAAGAGCGGGGCAAAACTCAGAACTCTTCATGACGAGCGCAAACCGCCCAAGGTCAATTCGCTGGACCCAATTTTTATCAGAGACCTAGTTGCACGCATGGTTATATGTTTGTTGATTGACTCATGGACTGAAATTTGAGTCACCATTTTGGCGCAGATTGTGCTGGTGGCAGCCGGAGGCATGATGTCCAGCGCTATAGATGTAGACGGTGCTCTCTGGCTGTGGGGCGCTGTGCCGAATCCTTCGGAGTTCGCTGACAGTCACTGCAGGAATAGCTTCTCGATCACTAACATTGAGAAGCCTGAGAGGGTAAGGGGACTTTTGGGGCTTAGGGTTTATCGAGTAGCATGCGGGAACGAACACATCATAGCAGTCGTGGAAGGAAGAGACAATGTCGATCCAGACTGCTACGCCTGGGGTAACAACCAATTTGGTCAGCTAGGACTCGGGGACTTCAGAGACAGGTCATATCCTCAGGTGGTGAAAGCTCTTGCTGCATCCGTCGTTGGCCCCATCCTGGACCTTGCTTGCGGGGCGTTTCACACTGCGATTCTCGCTGGGAAGGATGATCAGCCCACTGACCTACTGCAGGAGCCGAATTCACCTACTCGAAGTAGACACAATAAGCTAGGCCGGGATGTCATTCAAGATTCGACTCCCAAACATTATTTCTTCAGAACTCACCAACCGATGGCCGAGCAACTAGAATCTCTACGAAATATAGGCTCTCCGAAACCTCGCGTGAGACAGGATAGTGAAACGAGCTCCTCTCTGAAGTCGACGGCCTTGGGGTCCTCGCGTATGTCCTCCAGTCGCAGTCTAGCGCAGTACGCAGTCAGCAGTAGGTCCAAGGAAAGCTTCACCTTGGAAGGGCGGATCTCTGTCTGCTGGACATTCGGACAAGGAGAGAATGGACAATTAGGACAAGGCACTAAGGAGAGTCAAGCCCTGCCTGCTCCTGTTGAAGGACTTCCAAACGAGCGCCTCACAACGGTCGCGTGTGGACTCTTCCACACTGCTGTAGTAACTGAAACCGGCGACGTTTGGGTATGGGGAATGGAGGGAGGGCTAGGTTTGTGCCCGAATATTGGACCCCCTGGTTCGCGAAGTGGCGATGCCGTCTTCCCTGTTCGAGTATTTGGGGAGAGCTCTGGAACTTGCAATCCCGTCTCTGGATCCAAAGGCATCACGTGCGGGGCAGCGCATACTGTGACCCTGTCTAACGGGGGTAAAGATATCTGGGCGTGGGGGCGAGGTCAGAATGGAGTTCTTGGTGTTGGACACACTTCCGACTGCTGGTTCCCGTGTCCAGTATTGTGGCCGCCGGTCTCGTTAGCACCGTGGTCTGGGGAATCCAAAGGTCCCCCACAAATGGATGCTTCGCATTCAATAGGTTTTGACTACCTGCGGCCAAGCCGAGATTCGAAGAAGTCGGGCCCTATGGACCAAGCGGACCCCGTCAAGTCTAGTGTTAAACAAACAGGAACAGGTTGGAATATTCTTGTCCCTCCCTTTTTGAAGATTTTATCGGTGATACTCAATAGTGCATCTATCCCTTACATTTGCTGAACACTCTCATGATTTTAGTTTCATGGTTAACACCTTGGCAGTCACGAATACCAAGAGGTTTGAACAGTCGGTAGAGAATCCAGTAGCATCAGAAGAAGAGACACTGAAGACTCTTCAGAAGGAGCTGGTTGAAGTGCGGCGGTACGCGGAGAGCCTCCATGCAGCCGTCTACGGGGAGGTAGAAGCTTTCTCTACTCATCAACCCGGAGTTCTTCTCTCCTCCAACGAGGACCGCAGCGATTACGGAAGCTCCGGTAATGGGCAAGCCAGCAGTAGCACCACGATTCAGAAGAGTGCTCTTCAGGATTGGGAGCGCCGCTTGGAAGCAGCATCTGACGCAGATCTGGTATTACCATAATCACAATTCTCGCTGGGCTGTACTTATTTTTCTTCCATGTTTATCCGCTTCACAATCGATCCCATCTGCCACCAACCAAAGCAGATTAAGCAATTGGTAGTTTTTGTACCTGCAGATACGGTTGGATCAATATTACAGAAGTATGCGACTCCGATTGAAGGAAATCTTGTTTGGAAGGAGGACGGATGAGTGGTGTCGACGATGCATGGCCGCGATGAATTCTTCCGGTATCCCCGTGGAACCACCAACCATGCGGGAGATTTACTCGACAACAAGCACGTCTTCCACGGATGGGCCAGGAGAGGTGGCCATCAGTAAGTCCGGCATCCATGGTAACAGAGATGAGCTGCTTCCGGCAGCAGCTGTGTCGGCTTCCATCGCCGAGTTCCGGTTGTTAACAGGTCGACCAAGATAAAAATAATAAATAAATAAACGGAAGCAATTGAATTAATCGAGGCAGTTGGTCCCATTTGTAGTTGTATACAGATATGCGAAGAGTGCGAGAAGTTGATGCTTGTAGATATTCCCAAAAATGTACCATCAGAAGAGAGAATAGCATTTCATTCCTGTTGCGCAAATTCGATGTCGAAATTGCTGGCAGAGACATCAAACTGAGAAGTTTGATCTCATCCGAAATCAATTACTCGAAAACATCCTAGCGACGGCTCTAACACATATATTCTGATTTATGTCTGCTTGTGCGACATTCACATTCTAGACCTTCACACTGAGTGCTCTAATATAATGAAACATCTTGTCAAGCCTTCGTTAGAGGATTGCAGACGAAGAGAATGAGGGCCCCATTTTCTACTCTGGGGCAACAGATCTGACCTCCGCCTCCCCAACGTGTGTAAGCGTTTACAGGAATGGGATTTAGCGATATCCGCTGTCAATGACTGACGATAAAATCGTGAAAAGTCGCCGACAGCACTCCGTTCACCCAAATCAAGTGGAAGAAAGAAGCTGATTGAGGAGGGACCCGAGAGCAATCGTCAAGGAAGCCTGATGATCTAATGATAGTGCTCCATTTCTGGCCCACACAACGCATTCGGAAAAGTGAAGGTAAAGGGAGCTATGCCAGCACCATATCCATGACCTCATTTGGTTGATAGCTCCACAAGCCATCGTCGAGTGCCTCCTTTGTTTTACACGGCTCTACAACGAAAGCCTCGATCTCTGAAAGCCACAATGCGAAGCACAAATGAAGGGACTTTGCACCAGTGGCCAGAGAAACTTGCAAATGAAATGGATAATAGACTTGAACGCCACTCTGAACTGAAATCTACCAGGCGGGCTAGAGCTCTTGATATTGCGGAGAATGAGAACGTTGTGAAAACAGAAGAGCAACGGCATTATCGCCCAAGCCTAGCAAGTAATCTTCAAATTTGTGGAACTGCTAACCCGGATGATACAAAATGGGAATCTCTAGCTAGCAACGACGATTGGTTGATTTATGAAATTCTCTCCCCTACAAAAATACTTCCCACAAAGTCTGATGCAGACACGGCCACAATGGCACTCAAATGGTTGTAACGAACTTCGAGTGAGGTAGTTGGGGAAGGCCAGTAAACAAAACTGTATTCGCTGGTAAGGACGGAAACAACCTACAACTTCTGCATACCAAGGACTTTGTGAAATACCGCTATCACATCTATCCTTTCTCTGCTGTACATTACTTTCGAAGATGTTGGACATGGAAAGAAGATTGGGATGAAGCGTCACCTGAAGCCTGCTTGATGGATCCGTCGAGGTAAATATTCGTTATAGTGTCTCCACCGACCTGGACAACATTTTGCAAATGCACGCAAAACTCTCCAGGAAACCCAGTTTTGCATTCGTACAAACTTGAAGACTGGCCTGAGATCGTGTACTAGAACAGTGAGACTTGCTCAGTTGGGTTCTTACAACTGGGGTTGATCTTTTTAGTTCATGACTTCGGAGCTTTGAAAATTTCATCACATCACAGGTTCTTTCAAATCTGACAATGACCATGTTATTTCAGTAGTATTAGACCATGAAAACAGTTTTTCTAGTAGGCACTCTGCTCAGATTACAAGCACACCACAAGTTGCGATATGCACAATTAGGGCTTCTTATTGGCTACGTTTCCAATCCCCATCTCAGTTCCCAATTCCCATCTAACGCAATTCCCATCCCACCCTTTGACGTGTTCGTCAATTTGTCAAACTAACCAATCAAAGGTCTCTATTTTCTTGAGTATGCATATAGCAACTTGGGGTGTGATTGTAGCATGTGCCATATATTTATCAAGTATCTATGAAAATATGGTTTATTAAAATTAAAACCTAAAAATTTACAAGCATTTAATAGGAATATTTTTATAATACTTTGGTAAAGACTTACTAAAAGTACCATAAAATGTCTTTTTGGTAAAAGACTTACAAAAAGCATAATTAATTACCAAAAAGAAATATATGAAACCAAAAAATTAAAATAAATGCTAAAAGTTATTATTTTCTAATAAAAATAACACCAAATTATATTAGAAAATGATCAATGCTTGTGAATATGAATTAGAGTACAAAATAGCTCCAAAAGACTTCTTAAATAAAAGCAGCTTTTTGGTATCTAAAAACAAAATAACCAAGATTGTGTAAAATTCATGAAATTCGTTTAAATGTTTAAGAGTCCTTTTACAAATAGAAAGAGTTTGCAAATTCTACTTGAGCTCAAAGTACAATTCAAAAATTACATATCTAAATATTTAACTCACTTCATAAAAAAAATTGATGTAACCAATTTACAAACAAGAAATTTTGCAACAATTAAAAAATTTTAAAAAATTCTTGGTTTGAAGATGTTAGTAGAAAACTGTAAATCTCTAAAGGTGAAGAATTAAACTAATGAAGAAAAATCAAATCTTTTATTGAGCCAAAGTTTAGAAAGCTCAATTTTTTTACTACAACTTGAATTGAGAATGAAAGTCACATCAATTTTTTTAATATGTAAAATAGTAGTTGAAGATTAATTATTTGTAATACTTGAAAAAATATATAATAATAAAACTGCTAAAATGTTGTAGTAATAACTAAGTACCTGTTAACTTAGTGACAGTTTTCATCAAATGTTTGGAATTCATCACTGGATTTGATTTAAATCAATATAAAAGATTAATTAAAGATTAAAACAAACCAAAAAAGTAACAATGAAATTATGCTGTATATGCTTTTTTTTTTGTAATCTTAATATATTTTATTATATTTCTATTGGTCTTTAGTAGGGAATGTGTTTTTCCTTGTAGAGAAAAATTGAAGTAAAAATGTTTAATATTTTTGTAACATAGAATTTGAGGTAAGTGCTAAGAGAAGAAGAAAAAATAAATAAATAAACAAATAAATAAATTTAAAAATAAAAAATAAAAGATCATTTTAGAACTTAGAAGTCAGAAAAAATCGAAAATATAAATTTCACATTAGCAGTAATTCCTACTTGATTAAAATATATATATATATATATATATATATATATATATATTATGAAAAGAATAATAATATTTATACACTTTTAACCCTTAAATGTTACTTTTCTGATAATATAAAAATTAAAAACATAAAATGGACATATATTATATTATTGATTCCTAATGTGGCCTGTGTACCCCGAATAATTTCTGTTCTCAAAGAAAATTCTGCTTTCTTTGTTTTATTTAAAATCAACAAAAAATCATTACATTGAGGTGGTAATTTTGAATCTATTAAACTGATCTTTTGTTCAATACACGATGTAAGGGAAACAAACATGTCTTTTGTTATAATTTTACAATAGAGATGGTTGTTTGATTACTTCTTCTTCTTCTTCTTTTTTCTTTCTTTCTGTATAAACTATTTATGTATCAGGATGACTAGTTATATTATAATCTAATACTTGTACAGATTAGCTTTGCCGTTGCAGGCAAACAATGTTCTATTATATAATATATTATAGATAAATTATATGAAATTAATAAATGTTATCATTCCTTTGAGTTTTAAATGCTTTTTTTCTTTTATCTATTCTAAATTATACTTTGTCTTCTTGCACTGATTTATGATACTAATAATAGTAATAACATTGCCATAATAACATTGTAAGCTATTTTGACATACATAATCATATTTTTGTTTTGAACACATCTCCACTGTTATTGAGAAATTCAACTATTGTGCTGGAAGTTGGAATCCTACTTTAGGTTGAGTAAAACAATTTGATTGAATTAAATAGTTGAGGTCCACAGTGTGATGCGTGGAGAGGCAACGGAAGGCATTTGGTACACGAATTCTGATACTGTTCATTCACCTTGAGCTCCATTCTGGTTTACATATTCACAATAAAATCTGACGTTCAAGTTTGATGGCCAAGACTGTATATTATATAATATATTATAGATACGTTTGCATTGCAATGACCCACCTCAAGCTTGACGGCTGATAAGTTTGACCAAGTGAAGTAAAGTGAATTCTTCGAACAGAAAATTCTTAGTGCTCCCCACCTCACAAAAAGTGCACAATATCAACATTGTCTAAGCAGGGTCACAATACCAGTTGCAATGAGCATTTGCTGTCTCTCATTGGATGATACAGAGCCATGGTAAGTGCTTTGTGCCAAGTGGCCCAAGTTGACACATCAAATTCTTCACAACTTTTTTTTCTTCATGTTTATTTGGTGAATAATTTGTGTTCGATTGTTGCACAGGCATACCTATCCTTCAGCTGTATTTCAAAGGAATAAATAGAAGGCCTCAAGTGGACCACAATTTGAGGTTACTCAGCAAAGTAAAGAGCCCAAGTTTTAGGGTGAGGAAGAATACACTCTGCAAGGGAAGACCTACTTAACAGAGCAGGATGGGTGCCCTAACTGATAACACCACAACAAAAAAACGGACGTTTTTGCAAAATTTTAATGTTAGGCAAAAGGAAAGAAAAACCCATTTGCACAGGTGCATTGCATCTCGCAGATCGCAGCAGCGTGACAGCACCGCAACATACCCCCCCACAGATTTTCTGATCTCATACCCTTATCACGACATCAGCCATATTCTCCGGAATATGGAATCAGCTCAAGCACAATCCCTATCAAGCATTCATTCCAGCATGGATTGCGAAACTGTGAGGCATCGACTTAGAGACTGAAGTGCGTTGTCGCCGTCGTCGTCGTCACCGTGGAAGGATTTACCCTCCACCATCGCCTTATTTGAGGGAGTTCTGACGAGAACGAACCTGCAGTGCAAATTGGCAATATATTTGGAAGCAGCAGTGAAACCCACCTAGTTCGCCATAGCTCCTCATCGCCATCGCTCTGCTCTGGCAAGTCAAATGCGTCGCTCATGATTCTTTCCTTCCTTCTCTCGAGTTTTCAAGTTGTTTTTCTCTCGGTTATGGGCGCCAGCATAGCTACCACGAGGCCTGGGTGAATTGTCCACTGCTGGATGCCCTGTTCCCCTGGTTATCATCGTCGCCACCTTGCTATCCTTCTATATTATCTGTGTCTACACCCGCGCTAAATTCTCGTCAGATTTTTGGTATTTTGATACACTCACGAAATCCCACTGCCACCCAGATTCGATTCTGCGCGGATTTGGAGTTCTGGAGGGTAGGAATAGCGATGGGCGACAAGATTGGGCACGGAGAGTGCTGAATTGAAACTGTGTTTTTCCGCCAAGAAGAATTACGAGAGAGGTGGGTTTTGTGGGAGATTGGTACAGCCGATAACCCTGAGGAAGTGGACGAGTCGATGGTGTTCGTAGTCTGCACAGCGCCAGAGCGAATCTTCTTCTTCTTTTGTTTCGTAGTTTTAGGTTGAGGCAATTCAATCATGAAGATAAAGGATACCGCAGTGGATATCCTGCGGCAAGCATTCATGTCTAGAGAGGACTACGATGAACTGCGGGAAGAGGAGAAAGTGTGGAGGAAGCTGCAAAAGCCATTGTGTATGGTAGCATTTACAGTCGTGTGGACAGCAGTGGTGATTGCGATGATGATCATGGTGTATGTAGTGTTTGAAGTCAGTGACCAGAAGTACCCGTTTTGCCAGAAAAGACGCCTGCCTTCCTACAATTTGGCTGGTGATGCCTCTGATCGTGGTGATCTTCCTTCTTATGTGTACACCGAGGAAGAAGCTGTCGATGCTTTCTGGATGGTCGCGTTTCTTCCAACCTCGGTCGTTTATGTCTTCTCCATCATCTACTTATTTGCAGGTGAGCATTCTTGGCCGCTGAACTTGGAACATTTGAACCAGAAGAGTGGATTAAGCTTGTTGCCAGCCATCTGTGTTGTTGAATTTTGAATTCTGAATTGACATCTCGACATGTCAAATGAATATTCATTAGTTTTTGGTAAATTCGATACATATTCAGCTGTTCTTTCGGGACTTTTAATTAGTTATTGTTAATTTCTCCTCAGTGAAAGACTTCGGTCATACCCATGAAGTGAATTGTTCAGTCTCCTTCCGAGAGTTCACAAGTGGTGTGTCAATCGAGCACTGGATGTCTTTTCCATTTGCACAATCCATCCTCAAGAGCCGTGAGTGATTTTAAGGTTCAGGAGACATAGTGTTTATACGTGAGATTTTCGATGTAGAAATAATAACTGCTGAGAAATTTATGCGTAATTTCTGCTCCCTCAACCAAGAAATTGATTTGTAAAGGAATATGCACAGTTTTCTGGTTCTTCATTGTTAGTTTTAAGTATTTTTAGCTTGTCCTGGCTTCAGATTACTGTCTCATTGGCTAATCAATTGGAATGATAGACTCTGTAACCATTGCCATCTTTTGCTTTAGAAGAAGTCTGTGCAACAAGAGTGAGGAGCGTTTGGTAGTGCCTGTTGATCTCTGACGCTACCATTTGCCTTTCCAGATAGTTTATTTGCAATTCTGTTCATTTTTAGACGTTTCCTCCTAGCTAGAATGGTCATGGATGAGTAAGATCATGAACCCATGTTGAATTTTTTAAGTCAAATTCAGATCTCTAGTAAAAACACCTCGGTTTTGTTGTAATTCTTAAGCGTGACAAGAACCCGACAATGTTAAGTAGAGAATCGTTTCTTCGCTTGGAAAGTTGGCATGTTGATTGTTGAGAAATTGACACCCAGGAGCACCATGTTAAAATTTCCTAGAATCGTTTTCTTGCAGGAATTTCAGTGGCCTATACAGCTCCGCAAAGGCATGGTTGCTTGAAAGTTGTGGAGAATGACTGTTGTGCATCAAGGCGAGGTGTGTAAAGCCCACCAGTCTTGCATCTTCTTGCACAATCCATGTTTCCGCTGCTTGCTGCATTATTGACTGTTTTATAGTCAAGAACCATGACAACCTCAATAGAGAAGAACTGAAGACTTTTGTTAACATACTAGTTTTTCTTGTGTTGGCTGGTTCGCAGGTGGTGTGCGTTGTCTATCAATGCTCAATGTAGCATTCATGATAACTTACGTGTTCCTTTCCGTATTCTTGGGCATCTTCACTTTGGGATTGGGCACTTCATGCTCCATTGCGCTGTTCTGGTGTTATGAAGTGACATGCTGGTGCCTCGTCATCCTTTTAGGCGCCACTGCTTTCTTTCTACAGAGAAAGGCTGCAGTAATAATGGACGCTGGCGAATACTATGGTCACCACGAGAGGGGCGTTGAGCTGCTGGAAGCTATTGCCATCACTCCTGAGATGGAGGGTCTTATTGCAGCTGGATTCAAGTCTTGGATGGGGCCAGCCGACGCTATTCTCTCGGACGATGAAGAGAGTGGAACTCACCGTGTTCATGATGGTCTAGACGTGGATGGTGTTTGGGAGGGTGATGCCACCGAGTATGTCGAAGCTCCTGATTATCTGCCGCGGTCAACAATAGGCTGACAACACAAGAATCATCATCATTATCATCATCAATCATACAAAACACTGTGGTTGGAGCTTACAACGTTCTCATCAAGTTGGGCTTTTTTCTAAGCTTCTGTGACGCAAGAGTCACCATGAAGTGGCGTAACTCATGCAATTGATAGGGGGTTTGGACTATATCGACAGTTTTGGAGTGTATAGCAGCAATGACAGGACCCATCCACCTCAAACAGGCTTTTGGGAATCTTAGCAAACATAGAGATGAAAGTGGCTGGCTTCAAGGTAGGAGATGGGTTTTTGGGAATCCTGACTGAAAAATTAGACGTTGAAGGCATCCATATAGTGTGAAGCACAGGATAGTCTCAGCAGCGTCGCTGTGTTTTATATCGTTGGTATTATTCTAACTTGCAGTTATTACTTCCATGCCTTTCTATCACTTAGCCTTGTGAGCCTGGTTAACAAACATCCTTGTGTCTGGGTTGCTCCATCATAACGTGATTTGAACGATGTTTATCATTGTATTCTACACATGTTTCCAATCACACTATAAGATGCGTAGAGAAGTCATTCAATTACCTTCTCTACCATAGTTCCAGTTACCATGATCCTTGCATTGCAAAGCACATTTTCAAAGTCCCTCTCGATATTTTTTCTCATGTACTTTGCCAACAATGTTGCCTCGGGGAAAGGTTCGAAATAAGGTCCCACAATGAAATTCTTGATCACATTATATAAGTTCTCTGAAATCATCTGTTGAAATTTTGATGGTTTTTTATTTTATTTCATGATGAACATAAATCAATTTGCAATAATCCTCAGAAATCACCAAAGTGCAAAATTTGGGACTTATTAATAAATGAGAAATGATAATATATATATATATATATATATATATATGTTATTTTCAAGAATGACTTTAACAAATCATCAGTGATGAAAGATTAAATACTTGACATGTATATATATATATATATATATATATGTATGTATGTATTTGAGAAATCGTATCTGTAAAAACTAATCTAGAGGAAAAAAAGAATTAAATGACTTGTAGATTAAATAATAAGAAAAAAAATCTAAAAAATGATGTTTCACCATGATAAATTTAATTGTGCAATTAGAGTTTATAACCTTGATTTCTCATAAAAGTCTTATATTATTTCTTGTATATTAGTTGTGATTATAATATACAATTAAATAATCTCATTCAATTTACCATCCATTCAATATTTCAATATTTTAATAACATTTAAAAGTATAAAGATTTAAAAAGAAGAGAGAAAAAAGAAAAAAATAATAATTCTATAAAATTTTCATTATCACCTCCAATTTTAAAGCATATAAAGACATACACTTCTAACAACCTAATGCTATATACAGAGAGGTAATAAAATGTTGAAAACAAAACTTGACATATAAAGTAATAAGATTTTTCTATAGAATAAATAAAAAACCAACAAAAATTAACACATTAGCAAAATAAGTATAATGGACATAAAAACAAAATTGGCTTGTGGAATGTTTCAGAAGTTTTTCTAAAGAAAATTGGTTTGTTTTCTATTTAAAGAAATATAGTGTGTCAAAGGTTACAAACTAATAATGGCTTTTATTGGATAGTTTTTTTTTAAAAAATAATTATATCACCTTTTTTAAGAAAATAATAAAATTTATTGTTTTTAAATTATAAAAATATGTATTTAAAAATCTTATTACTTTTTATGTCAAGTTGTGTTTTCAACATTTTAAAACACTACACTTCAAAACTTATAAAAACTTCAACATTTTCAAAACTCAACATTTTTATAACTTGTGAAGACCATATATAAATAGGAGAAGAATAGAATGGGAACAATTATATTTTTGGAAAATTTTAAATAATTATGTGAGCTTTGTTTAATACCCTCATGCCACCTTTGTTCAATACCTTTCAAACCATTTGATTAAATAAATCTTTTTATTGGAATTAAAAAAACTACTGAAAAATATTGAATGGGTGGTAAATTGCAGTGGTGTAAGCAAAAAACTATGGTAGCATAAGCAATACTCTATTTTTTTTATTCAAATTACCAAATAAAATATCTATTTTATTTTTAGAAATTTTGTATTATTTACAATGTAGATTTTTTGTTTGTATTGGACTTTCAAAAGTCTAAGATTATTATTGTCTTTAATATTTATTTAAAATTTTTATACTTCTAATTTAGAGTATTATTCTATTGGTGATTGAACCCTTAACAAATGTGGTGCATTTTATCCTAATTAGAAAATAAATAACATGTAAGAAGGACAAGGATTTATACAAAATAATATTTCTAAAAGTGTACAATACTTGTCAAATGAATCAAATTACTGTACAATAGTTTGAAAAATATATTAAGCTTTGAATTAAAAATTATTTATCAATTACTTATATGTAATTGCTTTGTTAGAAATTGATCGAAATCAAAAGGGTTGTTCTAAAAAATATCATAGTTCTTTGGAGAATTGATAAGATTTTTTAGGTTTACAAAACATTCCTTTGGAATTTTGTGGGTTTTTACTAAATAAATATTTAAATAGTTTTTTACTGTAAAAATATACAATTTCAAAATATAAAATAACATCTTAACCTAAATTTAGAGAGATATTAAATACTGAAATTTGGAGTTTTTTTCTGTATGACAATATCAAATTGGTTCAGAAATGAGTTTTTACTTTCAGTTTAGTTTTAAATGACTACAAAATATTACTTTTATATTTACAATATGGAACAATGACTGTTCCTTCTATGAAAATAAAAACGATTTTAATTTCTTTTTTATGATAAGGTTTTATTATTCACTTTTTGTAATACAAAAGAGCTTTACGTTACAAATTCTTTTACAATATTAATTATACCTTCTTTTTTTTGTAAAGCTTTAATTATTATCATTATATATTTTAGGATAAAAATATCATAAGAAAATTGTATGTCAAAATAATTAAATACTTGGAAGGATTATTTATTCAATTACAGGATTTTTAATTTTTTTATGCATGGTAAAAAGCATTGTTTTAATGGATTCACTGTCTCTTTATGTATGATTGTCCTATAATATCCCTGAAACTCATTGCAAGTAGTTAAGAGTCAATATGGATTCATTGTGCAGAGGCAAAAAAAGGACCAAAAGGAGCCTTTGATTAATGGCACCTGAAGAACAAAAAGTGGGCTCTGATCTGACCCCACATTTTGTGAATTCCCCTGATGAGGCAATTTTAATGTTAATCCAAAGCAAGAAAATTAAAACTTCTAAGAACATTGTTATCTTTTCTCATTAATATTATTCTAGTTATTTGCCTCACTCTCTCTCTCTCTCTCATTGTCTGGGCCCAATACATGCACAAATAACTATACAAAACATGAATAAATGAATGAATGAATGAATGAGTAAAGGTTCAACTACGGGGAAATCTTCGAAAATTCTGTGGTACACACAAGTAGTGCCTTGCTTTCCCTATAACCAGGATGAATGGAGACTGCTCCCCCACCCACCTTCTTCTTCTATTATTATTAATATTAATATTAACATAATAATAATAATAATAATAATAATGAAATCAATGAATCCAAGAATTTTGGCAAGGAGAGCACCAAATGTTACTTTATGGAAACTCTAACCATGTGAATAAAGGGGCAATTTAGAAACAACACACAGATTGAAAAAGATGGCTTATGTCCTCAATTCTATCAATAGCATTCTATCCCATGTATGAATTGTTGTGTACATTATTGTGCAAATTATTGTGTAAATTACATAAATAAAAATTTCAATAATAATTGATATTCTATTTATATTATGATTGATTTTTAAAATATATATATTAAACATGTTTTCTATTCAACATTAAGTAATATACTTACAAGGCCTTGTTTAATAAATACTGCATAGAATTATAATTGTTGTGCAATGTTTTTAATATTTTTTTATAATTTTTTATCAATATTAGTTTATAATTCTTGCATGGAAAAGATTTTTAATTGGGAAATTAAAATTTAATCTAAATAATGAGATAAAAAAATAATTTCATAAAGATATTTAGAATAGAGACAAAAATAATTTTAAATAAATAGTGATTTAGTTAAAAATGACCAAGAATATTACAATTAGATAGGATTTTTACAATTTGAAGCTTTAAATCATGTGACTTCTTCAATTAGTTCTTTTTTAATCTACTCCTTTATTTAGTATTTTTTATTCATAATTTAATATAATTTTTTCTATGAAGGTATAAATTTATTTTAAAATATTAGTCTTTACTATGTACTAATAATCTATTATTTAGCATAGGTTATATAATATCTATAATACTTCAAAGTTATGCAAATAAACCTAATTAATAAGTTATACTAAATACCTTTATTACTTAAGTAATAGAAGTCAATATAAATTAATACGAGTAGGTAGAAACATGTTTGGTAGATAATTATTTTTTTAAAAGGTTTAAAGAAATTTATTGGATGCAAATTAGATATTATAGATTTTTATAAATATGTCTTGTGGCTATTGAAACTTCTTCTGTAAGAGTCATATTTATAGCAAATACATTAGAAGAAACTTACAACTTGATACTTTAGCTATAAGACTTGTAATTCTTAAGAAGCTTCTACAAGACCTTCTTAATAGCTAGTATATATAGAAATAAGGTTGAGGCCATTTTTATTCTTATTAATAATTTTTTTATGTTTCAATCTTAGTTTCAAATTTTATAGATTCTTTACAATTGATAATTGTTATTATAGCTTTTTTCTATCTTGTATTTAGCTGTCATTTTTTAATTTTTTTTCTTTTAGTAAAAAAAGTGTATAAATCCTTCTAAAAGTCTTGTCTTGATATATCTTTGTATCAAGGATACGAGTTATAATAAAATTCTAAAAAAGTAAAAACAAATACTCTTGCAATACTCAAAATAAAAAAATTGACAAATTCAAGATAGATGTAAGATGGAAATTAAAATAACTATTGTCAAATATAAAGAAATTAGAGATTCTTAAATTAAAATAAGAATACAAGAAAAGTATTGATAAGATTAAGAGAGATCTCATTATTACCTTTATATATACTATCTAATTAAAGAGCTATGTGGTAATATTCTATAGATCATTTAATACATATGTAACTTTTGAAATATGTTTATAATTTGCAAAGTAAGTCTCACATATTTTTTATATAACCATCTTATAAAATAATTAGCAAATATAAAAATCATATAAAAAAACTTATAAAATAAGCGATAAACATATGTGATATAAGACCAACTTGTTGGCAAAGTTGTCAACCTATCAATCATTTATAAATACTTGTAAAGTCAAATCTACATCTACAAAGCTTCTAAAAAGATTTTCCATAAGATTTTATAAAATTTGCTTATTTTTATTTCCACGTGATTTTTTTTATTTTAATAATTACTACTTCTAAT